ACATTCAGATTCTGATAGACATCATCTACCAACTCCCAGGACATTCACCTTCCTTCCCCAGTGAATTCAATGCCATGGTTAGTAGTCTTTCTCTCCAGCTTAATTCTTGCCCTCATACTAGGGGATTTCAACATCAATATTAATGTTCCCTCAGACACTCTAATATCTCAATTCCTAAGTCTTCTCGGTTCTCTTGACCTACTTTCATTTCACCTTTGCTACAGAGATGGTCATTCTGTTGATATTACTATCATTCTAAGGTGTTCTACTTCCATATTTATGACCACTAAAATTCCTTTACCTGGTCATTAATTTATGATTCCATATTTTCCTTTGCTTAATTATTTCTAACCCTATTCTTTGTCCCTATACCCCCTCTCCCTTCATCTTACATTATTCACAATACCCACTGTTTTTTCCTTTACCTTCACATAAAGAGGTGGTCCTTCTCCATGCCAAGGCAAATCCTTCTACTTAGACCCTTAATTTCATTCCATACTGTCTTCTCCAAAAGATTTCCCTCCCTATCATTCCTTCTCTCCTCTAAATCTTCAGTTTATCTCTATCCGTTGACTGCTTCCATATTGCCTACGAACACGCCCATGTCTTCTCCATTCTTAAAAGGCCTCACTGGATCTAACCAACTTCATAACTATTATCCTATATCTCTACTCCTTTTCATAGCCAAACTCTTTGAGAAAGTCATCTACAGTAGGTGCTTCTACTTCTCTCACTTTTGAAATCCTCTACAATCTAGCTTTCATTCAACTAAAACTGCTCTCTCCAAAATTACTAATGATAGCTTAACTGCCAAATCTAATGGTCTTTTCTCAGTCCTCATCTTACCCTCTCTTCAGCCTTTAACAATGTCAGTTGACCTCTTATCCTAGATACTCTCTGCTTTCTAGGTTTCATAATCCTATTGTCTCCTAATTCTCCTTCTGTCTGACTTCACTGGGTCTTCTAAGCTATGTTATGGGTTCTCTTCTCTTTTGAGTCAATATTGTGTCCTTTGGTGATATCATCAAGTCTCATGGGTTCAATTATTGTCTCTATGCAGGTTATTCTCAGATCTATATATCCAGTCCTAACATCTCTCCTTACCTCCAGTTTCACATCAAAAACTACTTATTAGATATCGTTGAACTGAATATCTCATAGACATCTCAAAATCAACATGTCCAAAACAGAACTTATTCTCTTACCCGTGCACAGATTTCCCCTCTTTCCAAATTCTCTATTACCGCTAAAAGTACACTGTCCTCGTAATAGCCAGGGCTCACAACCTTGATATCATCCTCCACTCCTCACTTGCACTCGCCCCTCATATCCAATATGTTGCCAAGTCTTATCGTTACTGCTTTTATATCTCTCACATACGGACTCTTCTAGCCTCTGACACTGCCACCACTGCCAACCACCCTGATACAGAGCCTTATCACCTCTTGATTGTATTATTATAATACCCTGCTGTTTGGTTTCCCTGCCTCAAGTCTCTCTCAATTCCAGTTCGTACTCCAATCAGTTGCTAAAGTGAGATTCCTAAAGTACAGGTCTGAGCATGTCATTTGCTACTCATTAAACTCCAGTGAATCCCTATTACCTCCAGGAAGAAACATAAATTCTTCTCTTTGGCTTTTAAAGCCCTTCACAACCTGGTTCCTTCCCACCTTCCTAGTCTTCCACTTGACTCCCTGCCGTGTACTGTACAGTCCAGTAACACTGGCTTTCTTGCTGTTCCTGACACAATTCTTCATCTCTTGGTTCTGTACCTTTTCACTGGCTTTCCCCCTTGCTTTGAGTGTTCTCCTTCCTTACCTCCACCTTCCCGATTCTCTGACTTCCTTCATGATTCAGCTCAGATCCCTCAGCCCAGAGGAAGCTCGGACACATCTGCAGAAAGCCTTTGTAGTTAGCCCCTTCCTGACACCTTTCTGAGATTACCTCCATTTTAGCCCTTAGAGCATAAAGTTGCTTACGTGTTTTCCTTAGTAGAATGTGAACTCTTTGAGGGCAAGGACCATGTTTGTGCTTCTGTTTGTAGCCTCAGTGCTTAGCTTCAGTGCTCCTCATGCCCGGTAAGTGTTTAATCAATGGTTGTTGACTAAATGACAAAAATACTTTAGAAATATGAACTGCTGAGGGGTGGAGACAAGATAGCCAAGTAAAGGGAGCATTTTTTCCAAGTTCTTCCAATATTCTCCTCTAAACAATTTTTTAAAAGTACGTGAAATTGAATTGTAAGGAAAAATAAAAAAAAATTTAAGCAAAAAAGTCACAGTGAGTTATTTTTCCAGCCCATGATAGTTTAGAATAAAAAGAGAGGTCTATGGACTGGGGTAGGAGTTGTCTGGGAATACAACCCAGCTATGGGCCTTGGAGGTGATAGCTGCAATAGTAGTAGCAATACTAGGAGCACTCAGCACTCAGAGATGGTAAGGGAGTCAGAAAAATATTCTAGGGGAACCCTGTGCTGGCACTGGGCACGAGATCAGGTACCATTTTGCAACTCCACTGCCCAGTTACCAGTTGCAATTCTATGGCAATGAGGAGTGCTTGTGGTTGTAAGCAGGTAGAGGCCTTACTTGGGTACAGTAGCAGTTCCAGGTCAGAGAGAAATTGTGGTCACAAGGGAGCAGGGTCTTTACCTGGGTAAGTACCAGAATGCAGACAAGGAGAGCAATGGCTACACTTCTCCGCAGATCATCTTGGAAGGACTAAAAACTTATAAGCCCCCCAAACTATCACAGGCTATAAAAATACTATACCTGGGACAATTCCCCCCCCCCCCAGTCTCCACACACACCCAGATATGAGCAGATCCCAACTCTTAGATAAAGTGTGAAGTCAAAAAATAGGCTAGAAAAATGAGCAAATAACAAAAAAAGAATATGATCTTAAAAGCTACCCAGGTGACAGGGAAGCTCAAGGTACAAACTCAGTAAAAGACAATAACTTGAAAACATCTACAAACAAAGCCTCAAATCAAAATGCAGGTTAGGTACAAGCCCAACAAGAATTCCTAAAAGAGCTTAAAAAGAGAGAGATTAAGAAAAAAGCAAAAAAAAAAAAATTAAATCAGTGGAAAATTGGGAAAAGAAATGAAAATAAAGTAAAAAAATTTATGAAAAGAGAAATAACAGCTTGGTAAAAGAGGCACAAAAGTACTGAAGAAAATAACTCCTTAAAAATTAGAATTGGTTAAGTGGAAGCTAATGACTTCATGAGACATCAGGAAACAAGAAATAGAAGGTATTTGAGGACATGATCAATATACAGTCTAAAGAACACTGGGCTGGCAGTAGAGGGGCACAAAACATATACTTTGTTAAACAGTGAAATGGTATCCTTGACTGGAGGCAGGGTTCAAAGAAACAAAATGGAGGTAACTTCTTTGATGTCATCATTTTGCTTTCTGGCTGGTCATGCTACTATAGCATCTTTCTGTTTGACCTAAATGTAAACTAGTGATGTCTTTGTCACTAGATGTGTTGAAACAGATGCTAAATTACCACCTTTGCAGAAGGTATTACAGAAGGGATTTCTCATTTAGTTAGTAAATAAACTAGATGACTTTGAAACTCCATTTTAACACTAAAGATTTAGCAGTTTTTGAAAAGATTTTAATTTTTTTTGTGAGGCAATCAGGGTTAAGTGACTTGCCCAGGGTCACACAGCTAATAAGTGTCAAGTGTCAAGTGTCTGAGGCCAGATTTGAACTCAGGTCTTCCTGACTCTAAGGCTGGAGCTCTATCCACTGCATCATCTAGCTGGCCCCTGAAAAGATTTTAAAATAGATTAATCTTGTTGGTAGTGTTGGCATAAAGGTAGTGTAGGGCAGTAGAAAGGGCCCTGGATTTGAGGAGAAGGAGGCTCAAAGGGGTTCAATCCTTTGTTCTGCTACTTAATATCTAGATATCCTTGAAAAACAAACAAACCAAAAAAAAACCTGCTTCATTTTTACTTTTTATCTCAACATTTTTTTAATTTTATATTTTATCCCAGCAGCTAACATAGTCACTGACACATAGTAATAATAAATAAATATTTCTTGAATTGAATTAAAATCAGTTAAAATCTTGAGGCCTATTTCCTCATCTCTAAAATGAGGTATATGGCCTAAATGTCCTCTCAGGGCTGATGACTTCTAGTTCTAATCTATGATTTTGTAATGAAGTCATTTGGATTTCCCTTTCTACTCTTAAACTGTTTTTCTTTGCTTTCACTTAAACACGTCTTCCATTCTTCCAAAGAATACATTCTTGTATTTAATAAACCAAATTATAGAGGTACATTGTTCTGATCTTTTTAGCGTATATTTTAGCAAGGAGACCGATCTGAATTTTCTATGTATGGAGTTGCTAATTGGCTCTGGAGGGAAACATATGTGTATCACAATCTCTTTTGTTTATTAGAACATTTTTCTTATGCTCCTTATTTATGAAAAGTGAAGTATTTGGTTCTCTGTGACACTTCCCGGAAACTCTAATTGCTAATTGCTACAGTAAACTGCCTCTTTTCTCCTCATTCATTTATCAAATTCATTTATTCATTACTCAGTTCTTCATCCATGCATTGTATTGTGCTAGATGCTTTAATAGATAAAAAAAATATATAAAACAAGGCCCCTGACCTGGGGGGTAGTTCTTAAAATCTACTCGGATAGACAAAACACACATGCATGCACACAAAGAAAGTGTTAAATTAACAATAAAATATACAAATACACAATAACAATAAACATGCACTCAACTATCACATGATTGGTGTAGGCAGTAAGCGTTACATGAGATCTGATGTGGGAAATGTGACTGAATAAAGTGTAAAGTAAGGCTTCACAAGGAGGTTAAATTTTGAGCTGAATATAAAGGAAAGGATAGGTTTTGGTGCAGGAGATGAAAGGGATGTTCCAGAGGAATAGGACATGAACAAGTAGGCATTTTTTGCTTTTAATTCAATTTGTATTTTATTAATCATAGCAACATCTGTATAGATTTGAAAAAGTAACATGTAGAAGACATTAATTATTTAATATGCAGAGGGTATATTTGCTTGTTTATAGATTCACATGTGAATTTACGGAACTCTTGCAATAACTCTTCAACCCACAAGTTAGAAAACTGATTTGGGGTATTAAAACATAAAATTGACCAACATAAAAATACTATAAATATTTAAAGTCTTATTTAGTTAGGCATCCTTAGGATGTTAAATACATCATTACAAGTTACTGTATCTGATAGGTTCTGAGGTACGCAAATACATGCAAATGTGCATGTGCACATTCATTTTCTTACATCAAAGGATATGGGATTTTGTGTTTGGATATCCCTTCCAAAACCTCCAAGTTTTAGTAGATTGATTGCATATCTTATTATGGTTAAAGAAACTAGATCTAAGCAACTAGATGGTTAGAGGTGTGTGTGTGTGTGTGTGTGTGTGTGTGTGTGTGTGTGTGTGTGTGTCTGCATACATATATATGGAGGGAGGCACTTGTTTTGGGGACGAGTACATCAGTCCAACAAAAGTGGTGTGTAGTAGCGGTAGAAGGAGGTGAGCTTTCAATATTGATTAGGACTGGATATTACAGTTATCCCTTCCATGTCACAACTTTCCCCATCAGGGTTTCAATATATCACAGATCAACAGAAAAAATTAAATGGGAATTTTGGGGGAGTTTTGAGGAAGCCGCAAATGACACGCAAGGGTCAACTGACAACACAGAAAAGGTTTACTAACTCAGAAATGCATAAAATATATGTACAGTATTGTATAATATCAACCTAAATTTTATAATATGATACTGTAAACCCCCCATAAAAGAAGAAGAAAAAAATCAAACTTCTTCTCTGGTGCAAAAGGAGGGCAAAAAAATTTTACACAGATTTTCTAGATCACAGGAGCGCTGTACCCCTAACCCCCGCAATGTGTAAGGGATAATTGTAGAAGACTTTGAATGCTATAAAAAGGTAGTAGGAGGCCATTACATTTTTTCAACAGAAGAGTAATTTTAGAAAAGGTTTGTTTTGTTTTGTTTTGTTTTTGAAAGATCAATCTGGCAAAGGTGTGTTGTAACAAATTATAACGCTATTGGTGATATACTGGCATAAGGCATTGAGAACCTGAGGTATGGTGATTAGTTATCCTGCTGTGAGATGATAAGAACTTATACTAGTGTAGTAGCTTTGGGAATGGAAAAGAAAACAATGATGTGAGAGATTATTTTAAGAAGTCTACAGTGACCTGGTGCCCATTTGGATATCGCAGGCAAGAAGAGAGAGGAGTTGAATAGGCTAGATGAGGTCTGAGTTCTCTTCTAACTTAGATTTTGGGATTCTAAAAATATCCTCTTATTTAATATAGTTATTTACACACTTTTTCTCGGTTTTTTTTAGGTAACATTAGGCGTGACAGAATTACACGTATGTATTATCTTTCTCTAATTCTTGAATTATTTGTCTTGTCTGAGTGAAAGCAAGCATCTGATTGCTTCTTTATTTTACAGATTATCATTTCTGGTATCCAGAGTGGGAAGTACCTCGACCAATTGTGTGTGATCCCCGATGCATATTTTGTTTAGTATTTAGATCCTTTTTATTTTTAGTGGCTGTTGCAATAGTTTTCCTATTACAGCATAAATTTCCAAATATACGGTTAGAAAAAGATCTATTGTTGGCTGAAATATTAGCACAAAATAATTCAGAGAAAGATATAGAATCAGAGAAAGATGGCACTAAATTGAATGAGGTCCAGGAGCCTAAATCAGGTCGCCACAGGCTGGAGGGTTTGGGAAAGGCCATAGAACCACTGAGCCTGAAGAAGAGTAAGAAGAAAAAGAAGCGGCGAGGTGTCAAAATGGATAGCGCAAGGGCCCTGGAGTCAGGAGAACCCGAGTTCATATCTTAGATGCTTGTATGACCCTGGGCAAGTCACTAAACCCTGACTGCCTCACCAAAAAGCAAAAAAAAAAAAAAAAAAAGAGAGAGAGAGAGAGAAAGAGAGTGAGAAGAAAAGATATAATAAGCCACTATGCTTTTTATCTCTTTTGGGGAGCTCTTAACGTGGACAAGAAATAAGATGGTTAAAAGGAATTGGGCAATGAAATCAGCAGAAGTTTTAGTAATATTTATGATCCAGCTCCTTAAAAATAAAAAAAAAATTTCCTATGCTATTGCATTTAATAAAAATATTTCAATTTTAATTGTTCTTTGAATTTAACTTCATTAAAGTTTTTTTAATGAATGATTAAAGTTGCCTAGTGTTTTTCACAATGTATTAATAAACAGTCAATATAATGTGACAATTTAACTATTGGAGAGATCTATAAGAGCAGGTATTTATGTTTGGAAAGGTTTTAAAGACTTCAGAACAGAGTAGTTATCTTAGAATATCCCATAAAGTTGAGATATGTATAGTATTTCTATACTTTATTGAAAGATTTAAGTAATTGTTAACTGAGCTAATCTAGCTAATTATTTTACCATGTTTCCTTGCTTTTGCTGCCAGCAGGTGTTATGGAGTGCCAAATTTTTTTTTTTAATTGAGATTGAGGACTCCAGGCATTTTGTGTGTATGTGGAAATATATGTGGATGTATGTATGCATATTTAGAAATGACATAAAGATGGAAAACTATTAGTTTAAAAACCTCTGTTAATTACTTACAAATTCAAAATGTTATACATTAGTTAGGAGATAGTAAATGGATAAGATAAGAGACTTGAAGAAGAAATGCCTAATATAGCAGAATGTGCATGTGACAGTCTTTACAACCATATTCTAACATCCTTTGCTTTTTTTTTTCCAGTTACATTTCAAAAGAACTTTTGCTTTATGTCCTTTATTCTCTCTTTTTTTCTTTTTAATCTTGTTTCAATGCTTAGGCCAATTGGAGCTGTCCTCTTTTGTCATTACCAGTCTGCTGAGAATGAGAAGAAAGCTCAAAAGTTGTTTTGATTTGCATTTCTTTTGTTACTAGCAATTTTTTGCAGTCTTTAACATGGTTGTTAATAGGTTTGCAATCTGCCATTTTAGAACTACTTTTTCATAGATGGCTCATGATCTTTATCTGATTTAATTCTATTTATCTTAGATAAAAGATCCTTACCAGACATTATTCCATGGGAAGATATTTTCCTAATTAATAGTTTTTTTCCCCTTATTCTGGCTATATTGATTTTTTTGTGCAAAGATTTTTTAAAAATTTTTATGTAATCAAAATTATTTTATCTTCCTGATCTTTTTTCCTTGTTTGAATAAGAATTTTCCTCTTATTCATAGTTTTGAAAGATATCTCCATCTATTTTCCTCCATTTAAAAAAAATGTGACTTTTTTAAGTTGGTGATCAGTTATTTGGCATGTACAGTGATTACGTGAAATAGAACACTTGTCTAAGACCATTTGTTTTCTAAACTGCTTTCTTGTTTTCTCAGAACTTCTTATCAAATAGGCAATTGTTGAAGCAATGTGTTTTCTTAACTTTATTTAACATTGGGGTCGTTAAGTTCACTTGTTTCTGCTTCTTGATTATTTCATTTGTTCCACTGATCTACTTTTCTCATTTGTAAACTATATCAATAATCTGTTGCTGTTGCTGTCTTTTAGTCATGTCTGGCTCTTTGTGACCCATGGACCAGAGCGTGTCAGGCCTTTATATCACATACTCTCTCTCATAGTCTGTCCAAGCTCATGTTCATTGCTTCCACGATACTATCTATCCACCTCGTCCTCTGCCATCCCCTTCTTCTTTTGTCTTCAGTCTTTCCCAACATCAGGATATTTTCCAGTGAGTCTTGTTTTCTCATTATGTGGCCAAAGTATTTAAACTTCAGCTTCAGTATTTGCCCTTCCAGTGAATAGCCTGAATTAATTTCTTTTAAGTATTGATTGATTTGATCTCTTTGTTATCCAAGGAACTCTCGAGGGGCTTCTCTAGCACCACAATTGAAAAGCATACCTGTGGCAGTTATTTTGAGTAGGATTTCACTTTCTATTATTTCCTCTTATACTTTGGCATAGATATACAGAAATACTTTGATGAGGTTTCTGTATTTAATTTGTATCCTTCTACTTTACTGAAGCGATTAAGTGTCTTAGATTCTCTGCTGCCTCTCTGGGCTTTTCTAAGCAAGCCATCATATTTGTAAGTAGGCATAATTTTATATCCTCTTTGTCGGTGTTTATGCATTTAGTTTCTTTTTCTTGCCTTACTGCTAATGTCAATATTTCTAAAACCACATCAAGACATAGTGAGGAGAGGGCATAGCTTTGCTTTACCCTTATTGGTTTAGCTCTATTGTCTCATCATTGCCATCCTCTTTCATATAATTATTAACTCACTCTCTTTCTTCCCCTTTTATTATTCAGTATGCCATTATTGCATGTCTATTTAAGACTGTGGCTTCTCTTGTCGTCTCTGTACTTTTTGCTGTTTTCATTATGTAATGGACTATAAAGAGCAATAGCATGACATACGAATTAAGAGCCAGCCTTGCAGTAAGGAAGCTGCAAGTTCAAATCCTGCCTCTGACATACCGCGTGCCATGGTCGTGTCACTTAGCCTCTTTCTGTCCCAATCAACTAAGACTGTAGCTTACAGAGATGCTCTTGGAGGATGTTCCACCGCTGACAGCCTGCGCTGGGAGAGAGTTTTCTCACCGAGCATTCCCTTTGCCAATGAAATCACAGGTCTAGTTGCCCCAGAACAGTAAGGGCTGAATTTAAAAGGAAGTTCAAAACCCAAACAATGCAAAATATTGTGTTTGTTGTGTGTTTTGTGTGCATTTTCTACTTTATTTATGAATGCACATTAAAAAGCATAACATTTTAAATCCTGTTAATAGTGATGGTTACGGCTCCAGGCAAAAGCTCTGCTGAAGGGGCAGCAAATAGGAAGTAGTCTGGAGTCCATGAACTGAGGACTAGCATCCTGTCTGGTCAGCAAGCATTCATTAAGTACTTAGTAAGTACCAGGCTAGGGATGCAAAGAAAGACAAAAATTGTCCCTGACCTCAAGGAGTTTACAATCTAACGTAAACAAGTGGGTATAAATAAGATATACAGAGGATAGACTGGAGATAATTATGAGAAGGAATGTACTAGCATTATGGGGAATCAAGAAAGGCCTGAGATTTTAGGAAGGTGAGATTTTAGTTGGAACTTGAAAGAAGTCGGGGAGGCTAGGAGATGAAGATGAGATGAACGAGAATTCCAAGCATGGGGGACAGTCAATGAAAATGCCTGAGAGACAGAGTGTCTCGTGTGAGGAACAGCAAAGAAGCCAGTGTCACTGGATGGCAAAGGATGTTGGGGATAGTAGTGTATCAGAATTTTTGAAAGGCAAGAGGTTGTGATGGGCTTTGAATGCCAGAGGATTTATTTTTTAATTCTAGAGGTGATAGGAAGTCATTGGAGTTTTTAAATGAGGCTGTGGGGTGGTGTGACATGGTCAAAAATGTGCTTTAGAAAGGCCAATTTGATGCCCAAGTGAAGTATGGACTGACAATCAGCTGAAAATGGGGAAGAAATGTGAGGCAGAAATTGATGAGGGCTCTTAAGGGGATTTGTTCAGTGAAGTTTGGATTCCGTCAAAGGGCCACACTTGAGGACCCAGAGGGCCACATGTGGCCCCGAGGCTGCAAGTTCCCCACCCCTGGGCTAGACAAATTGATCTGGGAATCATGTGCACAAGAGATGATAATTGAATCCATTGGACCTGATGAGATCTCCAAGCAAAATAGTCTAGAGGGACAGAACCTTAGGGGATACATAGCATTATTCCAGATTCCAGCATTTATACATGTGCAATACTTTATAAAAATGAGTGAATTTTTGAAAAATATATAGATTTATAGAATGCTAGAGCAGGGAGAGATTTTGGAGTTCATTTTGCAAATGTTTAGCACACCTGCTGGGTGCAAAGTACTGTGATAGGCACAATTAGATAAGGCAGCTTTTGCCCTCACGTAGTTTATAATCTAGTATCTATCCGTCTATCTATCTATATCTGTATCTATCTATCTATCTGTCTCTCTATATATATATATGACAAATACATAAAGGTACAGTGACACCAAATTGTGGAGCGTCTTCAATACATGGCTCAAGATTTTTAACTTTACTCAGCAGAGAATAGGAAATAACTGAATAATATACGGGCCGCACGCTGGCCTTCTGCCAGTCGTGCGCCAGTACCTACTTCCCTTAAAAGAAGTACACCACCAGAGTCTTACCCATGCCTGGGTCCTCGGTCCTCAGCCGGATCACCACACAGAGACAAGCCATCGGGAGGCACCAACACCAGAGCTTTATTCAGAGACCAACACAGCAAACCATCATAGCAAGCCCAAGCAGCAAGGCCAGAGCAACAGGCAGGAGCCAGGGGAGAGCGCACGTGTGTTCTGACCACGCTTGTTCCTAAGTACCTACTTAGCCCCTCCTCCCCAGCCCGCTACTAGCCAATGATTGTAGGGTCAGATACCGGAAGGGGCTCTCTGAGTTTAGCACACCAAGGGGGAGGGAGTGACGTAGGAGGCTAGGATTGGATACAGGAAGGAGGCATCTGGGATTGACGCAGAGACAAGAGTACGTGATCTAGGAAGTCAGACTCAGGAGGGGACTGGGTCAGTGCTGCACAAAGTCAGGAAGGTCACAAGAGGCATCTGGGGATGATGTTGCATATAGGGAGGGGACTAAGCAGAGGGAACTCAGTCCTCTGCCATCCCACTCCCACGTGGCACCGCCCCTTGCCTCAGGAGCTCAGGCTCGGCTACTTCCTTGCACCCAGCTTATCTCATAGCACTGCCCAATTGCCTCATGGCTTCTCCGAATCCAGCCCATCCCAGTACACACGACTCTGCCTACCACAGTCCCTGCCTCGACTTCCAAAATACCCAGATCTTACCTTA